GAGGAATGGTTGTGAAAAGTAGACCCAAGAGACCCCTTTTTATACCCAAAAACAAGGTGCAACGGTTGGGAAAAGATTGGGGTTGATTAGCTTGATTTGTGGAAATCAAATAAAAGTGGATCTGCTGAAATCTAGCCTAACAGCGCTGTTCATAAAGTGAACATCGCTGTTTTGGCTTTGACTTTCCTTTAAAAATGGCTAACGGTCACCAAAACATCGATGTCTAGAAGTCTACATCGATGTTGGGGTGTTTGACTTTCAAAAATGGAAACATTTTGTCTTAAATAGCCCAACGGTCATTTGAAAACATCGCTATTCAACAATGAACATCGCTGTTCAAAAACTTACTGCCCAGGGCTTCTGAATGCCAACATCGCTGTTGGGATTTCCGACATGCATTTTGGGATGGTTTGCCAGAACCATGGTATGGCAGCCAACACCGAAAACCGATGTCAAAAACCAAAGTTCTCCAAAATGAAAACCAAGTGTTGGAAACTCATATAAAATGTATTTTATGTAGAAACCAAGTATAAAAACTTAAAAACCACTTCATTAAGGTAAAAACCACGGCTAGCCAAGTTTATGCCGTTTCACATGGTTTTCACCAAAAGACCAAAAACGAAAGGTGGTTTTTAACATGTTTTTGTTGGAGAACTATTTGGATATGCCCAGAAGTAAAAATAAATCATAAAATCTTAAAAACCACTTGATTGATATGGGCGCCAAAAACCAACACCGATAACTAGCACCGAATGCCGATGACCAACGCCGAAAAACAAAGGTTATGGTTTTCGAAAACTAATCATTTGGAAAACTTTTAAATGTGTCCAGAAGCATAAACAAAAGATAAAAACCCCAAAAACCATTTCGTTAAAATCAATGCCAATAACCAATGCCGAAAACCGAACGCCATAGCCAAACGCCGATAACCGATGGTTATGGTTTTGGTTAAGAAAGAACCATGGGTTTTAGACACTTAAAAACCATTTATGAAAACATTAATTTGATGCATGAAAAACATATTTTGTTTTGAGCCATGACGTAGAGAAATTGAATGAGCTTGTTACAATAAAAACCTAAGTATTTAGAATACGCCTTCAAAGCGCCAATGTCGCCATCTTTAGCAACGTCAATGCCGTTCTTGTACTTTTTGTTTCTTCAAAGAACTTTTTCTATCTTTTCATTTTGTTCCATGTTCCCGACGGTTTGTCAATATCAAAACCTAAACGGAAACAAACATTGTCATTAGCAAAATGTCAAAGTGAAAATGTTTTCCAACATCCGGGCAACCGGCCTAATCAGCATGAGAGTAAGCCTGCAGATAGTCTGTAGTAGAAGTGGTGGAGAAGATGACAAGATCAGAAACTTCGTCGGTGATTGTGGAGAGAATCCAGCCTTAGAGAAGAGCATCTAGTTGGAACCATTCATCATCGTCGTCAGAAGAGAGGACGACGGAACCATAGATGTAACCCTGAAGATTGAAGCGTCGAACGAGGAGAAGAAACAATCGGCTCCACTTTTTGTAGTTGGGTTGAGAAAAACTGAGTTGAATGGGGACATGGAGTCTGACATTGGAGATGGTGGTGAAAGCAAGACGTGGAGATTTGGAAGAGGTGTGCATGGAGGTAACCTCGCTGTCCGCCATGGTCGTTGATGAGGAGGAGACCGGTACGGCAAGAGGGAGGTGACGCCGAGAGAGAGAAGGCCGGCACAGGGGGGATTAGGGTTAGGGTTTAGATGACTCTGATACCATGTAGAAAGAGTATTTTCCTTGATTGATTACGTGGTAATTACATGTAAATATATACATGAGGTCTCAATCCTAATTATGGTAGGAGAGACATATTGGGAAGGCAATACAGTTATGGTAACAATATAATACAAGAATATCAAATATATAAATAATATATTTAACAAAAAATTCAATTGAGACTTTTTAAAGTTAAAAAAAAGTTGGAAGTATTCAAAATATTTTTGAAGTCCTTATTAAAGAATCCTTCATATTTGTGAACCTTTGATTCAATTTTATACAGATTTTTTATGGGCCATGTTACACTTACACCACAAATTGTACCTCATTTGTACACCGCAATTATACACAAACATTTTGATGGTTTACACCGAAACAAGTGTGGGTGCGTTAACAAAAATTTACACAAACACAAAATGTTGGTGCATTAACAAAAATTAGTTTACACCAACACAAAGTGTTGGTGCAAACCTTCCGGGTACAAACTGAGGTACAAAATCATGGGATACAAATAGTTTTATCCATTTTTTATTGTCCAGCATCGTGAGTAGGTATTCGATCTTATTGGACTATTTCTTTTCTTATTCGATGAGCGCGGGAAAAATTGTGTTTTTTAGGTTTCTTTCTTCCTTAATCCTACTATATACTGTTAGTTCCATAGTGTTGGCTAATCTTTTGGCAAAATAGAATCCCATATTTGTTAGATGTTTTACTAGGTAGAAACCTCTATTTGTTAGGAGAGGTTTATTTTATTTAGACTTCTAGAGCTGCTGCAGTTTTCGAGGTTGACGCAGAAGATGCTACAACACGATGCTGCAACACACAGTTCGGGATCAGAGGTCTGAGCACGGGATTTTAAGCTGCAATCTGATATAGAGACCTATTGGGACTGAGATTACATGATAATAACTCCAGCTGTACATGCTAAGGAATCCCAACTCTTTAGGCTACTTGTGGATCAAGATTAAGGAAGTAGAGTTCAAGTCAACTTCTACTATCCTATTCCTACTAGGATTGTGTTAAGAGGAGTCTATAAAAACGAAGCTGGTCCCTGGGAATTACTTGGAGCGATTGAGAGGGAAAACCAAGAATATATGCTGATGTAGAGCATTCCCGTCGTGTCCCGGAGCTACCCTTGCGTGAAGAAAGTTACGATCTACTTCAAGAATGAGATCTTCAATGCCAAACCAGATCGTGACAACCAGGAGATGAACCAGAGCTGAACGAGTGGGCTGCCAACACATTTGTCCTTGTGATCTCGGTGGAGATGTGATAGCCAAAGCGGATCTGAACAGAGTTCGGGTTAGAAATCCTAGATTAGGAGTTTTGTCATAGCAATTCGGAGAAGTGTATCTCATAATGTTGTTATGTACCGGTGTAACTTGCATCTAGTGATTTAGTGGAGGGCTATTACACGGACGTGGACCCCGCAGACTATGAGAATTTTCTCCGAACTGCGTAAACATATCTGGTGTTATTTTTACGCCTTTTATAGTTACAGCATCCTGTCCAGTAGGCGCTGTAACGTCCTCAGCGTCATCTGCTTCTGTGTGCGTGCTTGTGATAGAGAAGTGTTATAGCACACTGTCTGTCATCTGTTACTGGACAGTGCTGCAGCGTCTTCTCTGCAGCATAGTTGGTTGATTTGTTTGCATAGTTCTTAATTGGTGATTTCCGCTGCGTCCCCACGAGCTTACAATTGGTATCAAAGCGGTTAAGCTTAAGTTATTAGCTTGATCTTTGGGTGGTTCGTTGCAAACAATCATGGTGATCTTTTAAAGAGTTAGCACACTTTATGAAGCAAGATGTGGTTATGATGCATATCCCGAGGGGGAGTAAATTGCAGTAAAGGATGAAGCTCTAGCAGATTCAAATGGGAAGTACGTGCATGGATCGTAATGGTAGATTTTATTTTTATTTTGCGCTTGTGATGGTTGTATGCTCTTAAAAGAACTTGGTATTACTTTTCTTTTTTACCCTAAATAAATTTGGCATATTTTGTGTCAAAAAGGGGGAGAAAAGGCTTAGTTCTTAAAAGATGCTTTAATCTTTTATGCGCATGGTGCACAATATATTTTGCCAAAAAATTGCCAAAGGGGGAGATTGTTAGTTCCATAGTGTTGGCTAATCTTTTGGCAAAATAGAATCCCATATTTGTTAGATGTTTTACAAGGTAGAAACCTCTATTTGTTAGGAGAGGTTTATTTTATTTAGACTTCTAGAGCTGCTGCAGTTTTCGAGGTTGACGCAGAAGATGCTACAGCACGATGCTGCAACACACAGTTCGGGATCAGAGGTCTGAGCACGGGATTTTAAGCTGCAATCTGATATAGAGACCTATTGGGACTGAGATCACATGATAATAACTCCAGCTGTACATGCTAAGGAATCCCAACTCTTTAGGCTACTTGTGGATCAAGATTAAGGAAGTAGAGTTCAAGCCAACTTCTACTATCCTATTCCTACTAGGATTGTGTTAAGAGGAGTCTATAAAAACGCAGCTGGTCCCTGGGAATTACTTGGAGCGATTGAGAGGGAAAACCAAGAATATACGCTGATGTAAGCATTCCCGTCGCGTCCCGGAGCTACCCTTGCGTGAAGAAAGTTACGATCTACTTCAAGAATGAGATCTTCTACGCCAAACCAGATCGTGACAACCAGGAGATGAACCAGAGCTGAACGAGTGGGCTGCCAACACGTTTGTCCTTGTGATCTCGGTGGAGATGTGATAGCCAAAGCAGATCTGAACAGAGTTCGGGTTAGAAATCCTAGATTAGGAGTTTTGTCATAGCAATTCGGAGAAGTGTATCTCATAATGTTGTTATGTACCGGTGTAACTTGCATCTAGTGATTTAGTGGAGGGCTATTACACGGACGTGGGCCCCGCAGACTAGGAGAATTTGCTCCGAACTGCGTAAACATATCTGGTGTTATTTTTACGCCTTTTTTAGTTACAGCATCCTATCCAGTAGGCGCTGTAACGTCCTCAGCGTCATCTGCTTCTGTGTGCGTGCTTGTGACAGAGAAGTGTTATAGCACACTGTCTGTCATCTGTTACTGGACAGTGCTGCAGCGTCTTCTCTGCAGCATAGTTGGTTGATTTGTTTGCATAGTTCTTAATTGGTGATTTCCGC